GTGTGTGCGCGTGTGCGAGTGTATGTGTGTGTGTGTGCGCGTGTGCGTGTGTGTGTGTGTGTGTGTGTTGGTGAGATTGTGGGGGCTGGGAACGAGGGACCCACTCCCACCCCACCGCCTGGGAGCTGCTGCGGACACCACGTGGACGCGTGTGCCAGCCGTGGGTCCCGCAGGCTGGCGGTGGGGACTGGGGAGCCGCGGGCCCCCCGTTTTGCCCCCACCCCTCCCGCCGGCTGCCAGGCAGGGCCTGCTGCCAACCAGCTCCCTGGTGAGCGCCGGGTCCGTGAGCAGCCGAGAGGTATGTTGATTTCCTTTTAATGTTGTTCAGGGTTCAATTTACCCAGTGGCACGCTAGTAAATAAATAAGAAAACGGAACCTTTGACAAGGGAAAATATGGAGTTTTCCTCCTATATTCCTGAGTAATATCTCAAAACTTTTGTGACTCACGAGGGCCTGCAGTGTTTGGCTAACAAAGGAAAGGGGAAAAAAAAAAGAGGAGGAAAGAAAACCATCTTGTTTCACATATATTTGTCAACAGCTTTATAGCAAGTGGAGAATATTCCACAGAATGGGGCCCTGCGCTCCACCTGCACCGACTGGGACCCCCGAGATTTGTGTCCGAGCCCCGGGAAGTGTAACCTGTGTCATTATATCCCTGTAAGGGGGACCGTTTCAGACGGCTGGACCCACTACCCACCGAATCTCCTGACACTGATCTCCTGGGAGGTCTGGAGTGGGGGTGGGGAGTTATTGCGCCACAGTGGCCCCCGTGCTCCGGCTCAGAGGTGGCAGCAGGTAAGAGGGTGGGGCAGGGCGAGGGGAGGGAGAACCCGCTATAGGAGAATGAGGCAGTAGAAGCAAAGGACCAACGAGGTGAGAGTGACAACTAGCATTCTGTCATCCGTGTACCCAGAGGAATGTGCTGAGACCCCACCATATGTCAGGGACTGGCAGGGCACAAGGAAGGGGTTGAATTATCGGTGACAGAGAGCCAGTCATGATGGTGTTAATAATCAACTGTTTACTGAGCACCTACTAGAGGCTGGGTAGGATCGCAGGTTGGAGCAGCTAAGCCCCTTGCTTTAGGGGGTTTTCCAATCTGGTGGGAGAGAGAGGTTCAAGCTCAGCTTCCCACTGAAAAACCCTGGTCTTGCAGGATAGCTGGGGGAACCCCAAATTGGAGGATTTTTAAAAAATCAGCTTTAAAATCCAGGTTCTAGTTCATCTTAGAAACTTCAGCCCTGTCTCCTCAGGGAACTCAGACCCGACGTGACCAGGAACTGCGGGACGTTCATTTTTTTCTGGGAGAACTTGTCAAATTTGGCACAGATGGGATGAGCAAGGAGTGGGGGAGGGGGAGCAGGGGGGAGGGCTGGGAATGTGACAGGGAGGGAAGGGGACAGGAGGAGGACAGGCAAGATATCTGACCACTTGCGTGTGATGTGAATTAGGCCTGTGGAGAGAGCAGGCATTGGTCCCCAAGGCCAGGACACAGTTTGGGGAAAGGGACAGATGGGGGCTGTCGGCGGGCCAGTGGCCAGATGTAGTGGTAACTGAAGTCTTCTGCATCCTGAAGGGAATCAATGAGGGCAACTGAGAGTGAAATTGCTCTTTCAGTTGTGGGCAGTTTGGGGAGGAGAAGGCAAAGGTGGGGGGGTGAGTGGAAGTCAAGGGGTGGGATGGAGAGAGATGGTAGGGAAATGCTGTCCCAGGCGGCTGGCCCAGGCATGGGTGGTGCTTAATAATGGAAGGGAGCCAGGGAGCTGTCCAGCCCCAGGTGCTGAGATCCACTATGGGAGACAGCTCTTTCTGGTCCTCGGCAGCCGGCAGTCTTCCTACCCAGTGGTTCTCAAAGTGCGGTCCCTGGACCAGCAATATCATCACTACCTAGACATTTGCTAAAAATGCAAATTCCTGGGCCCCACCCAGATTTACAGAGGCAGAATCTGTGTGGGAAGGGGGTGCACAACAGCAACTTGATTTAACAAGCCCTCTGAGGGATCCTGATGCCTCTCAATTTGGAGAACCACTGCTTTCAACAGCTTGTCCTACCCCCAGTTCCAGGCCCTGTCCTTCCCTCTAGTACACAGCCCACACGCAGCTCTGGGACCGCACCCACCTCCTACTTCTGAAAGCACTAGACATTTGTTTCTCATCATGCTGAGATCCATGAGGGAGGGCAATACCTGCTCAACCATGCCTGGCACAGACCCTGGCACACAGTAGGCACAGCAAATTTGTGTAATGAGCAGTTGCAGGGATGGATGGATGAATACTAGAGAGGCAGCCAAAGTGTCTTATCAAGACCCCAAACAAAGGCTGGGGATACAGCTCAGTTGGTAGAGCGCTTGCCTGGCATGCATGAGGCCCTGGGTTCAATCCCCAACACTACCCCCTCCAAAGAAGACCCAAACAAGGGGCTGAAGTGTAGCTTACTGGTAGAGCCTTCTTCAAGTATGTGTGAGGTGCAAAACAAAACGAATAAAAAATACCCCAAACCCACAAATGTGGTCAGGTATTTTCTTGCTTAAAACCCTCCCGAGGTCCCCAGTGTGTTCAGGATGAAGTCCAGTTCCTCACTGTGGGCGTGGCCTTCAAGGCACTCGGGTTTAGACCTCGTGGCCCAACACCCTGATTCATCCCGTGGTCCCCCTCAGCCGCGACTCCGCCTTCCACACACCCCGAGCTCATTCCTGCCTCAAGCCTGTGTGGGCTTCTTCCCATCACTCAGGGCCTGGCTGTGATGGAGCCTCCTGGGAGGGGCTTGCCCTGGCTCCCCGGGCACATCCCCTCCCACCTTGTGCCATTACCTTGCTGGTTGGCATGTGGTTTCCCCTCCTGGCACTAGTACATATCCAAAGATGAATTGGGAAGGACGCACCCCCATTTCCATACATCTCTCCATATAAACAAAAAATAACCCCTCATATAGCCTATTGACATTGCCTCAAATTTTAAAAAGCTTCCTGTATGTATTTAGGTTTTAAATAAGAATACTGTGTGTACTTAGCAAATCCAGCTTTAGGATGAGTTCCCCCGTACCCATCCTGTTGCCCAAGTCCTTTGGATGGAGCTTCTGGAACAGCCATGGACCAAGCCCTTTAATCCCAACTCGTAGGGCAAGGTGGGCTCTGTAGCCTGGAGGGTTCCATTGAGCAGGAATAAAAATGGGCCACGCAGGGAGGAAGCACAGATTGAGACCCAAGACTCTAGCACATCCAGAGAAATGAGAGAGAGATGGGTGCTTTGGGATTGGTATACAAGGTACATTCTGGTTCATCATAGAGGACACTTGTGTTGGAACTGGAAAAATTATCAAGGGACAAATTCTTCTAAGAAAACTGTACATTATTCTGCAAAGTGCTCACTCCACACCAAGCACTGTTCTAAAAGCTTTGCTCATATTCATTAGTTTCTTATCAGAGCCTATGAGGTGCTGTCCGTGGTGGTGCACGCCTGTGATCCCAGTTACTCAGGAGGCTGAGGCGGGAGGATCTCCAGTTCAAAGCCAGCCTCAGCAACTTAGTAAGGCCCTAAGCAACTCAGCAAGACCCTGTCTCTAAAGAAAAAGGGCTGGTGATGTGGCTCAGTGGTTAAGAACCTTTGGGTTGAATCCTGGGAACTAAAATAAATTTAAAAAAGAAG